AGATGAGTTTGCAGGTTGAGTAATATTTCAGCTCTGCTCCAAAAAATGTTTCTTTTTAATTGTCATTTCCCACCTCCACCTCGCGCCCCCCCCCCCCCCACACACACACAAAAGCCCAACAATTTATTTTCAGTATTTGAATTCCACATAACAGGCCCTTCAAGTTAACTTAATGTTTGAGTTTGGAAGGTGCTTGCTTAACAACTTTGTTATGACTGAAACCCCGCTGTAATGAGACTTGCCAGATGGGGTATTTCATGGTCTGCTTAGTGGCTGGGTCACTGTTACAATATTCAGCTTTTGTAAACTTTAGGAAGCAGATGCTTTTCATTCTTTGTGGAATTACAGTGAAATATAAGATTCAGATGGATTTGTATGACTCCTTATCTAATATTTTTTGCTTAAAAGTAAAAGCACCTCTCATGAGTAAGGCAGAATGTGGGAAATTCGTGATTTACAGCTGCCCTTTAGAAAGAACAGAAAAGTGGAAAGGTCCCCGCCCCCATGGCCAGCATGAGAGCCTTGTCATTCTCCAAGGGAACCGCATCATGGTGGAATGGACTTGGACTGCCCAATGAATGACACACTTGATCACCGAGAGAGCAGACTGGTGTGAGAAGTGTTTGGGGGAATTTTGTAGGTGGTAAGGTGGTGAGATGTCTGAAATCTCAGTAGAATAGACTTTACTAGGAATCTTTTCAAGTGTACAGAATATTTGTGTATGAGTCATTCTTTTCACAATCAAGACAGAGAGCTCTGCTGGTCTTCTCTATTGTGCTTTAACAAAATCCTTTGTATTGTCACTCTGAAAATGCCTCAGTGGATCGGGGTACACAGGAAAGCCCTAGTAAAGGGGCTGTTTTTTATAGAAATGAGTTAACTTCATCTATGGAATTATTTTTATAGTATGCTGTGTTAATTTTTATCTGATTTTATATATAGTGGAAACAGCCTCCAAATGGCATTTATGATGTCTCTAAAAACAGTAAAACCCCACGATGATGCAATCGAGAATAATGCAAATTAAGGTTTAATGTGATTGGTTCCCATTCTCTGCCATTTCCAAGTCTCAAATGGAGCCAGACAAAAGTTCTTGGGACTGAGGAGATGTGGGGAGAAGGGCAGGAATAAAAGAGAATAGAGTGCGAGGGCAGGGGGTTGCAACCAGGGAAGGAGAAGGTCCTCACAGTATTGTTTCTGATATCACTCCCATCCTGGAAGTCCCAGCCATCACACACTGATGTGTATTTAAGCCCAAACGACAGCCATCACCAGATGTTGCAAACCTGCATCTCTGTCCAGGGTAGATTTTTACTCTCAGAGCCTGACAAAGTCATTTCATTAACCTTCACAATATCAAGAATATCTGCTTTGCAGGATTCAATATTTTCACTATATGTCAGCGTTTTACTGAGTTGTACTCTGTTGAACATTTCTCCAGTTATTATCCTACTAGTGGCCCAGTCACGAATCCGTGCACTTTGAAAGGAAATTAATTAGAAGAAATATTTTAATATCGCTATTTGCCCTTTCTCTGTAATAGAAAGGTCAACCAAATTCACGATCGACAATGACAGATCGAAACACAAGCATGTGATTGGTGCCAGGGAGAGCTTTATATGTATTGCATATGCACGAGTCAAATTAGCCTTTTATAAATATAATAAACTTGCTTAATTAGACCTGCTTTCTGATTTAGCTAAACTTTCTCCAGCCCAGTGAAGCACCCAAACTTCTCTTTCAGGTAATTGTCAGCAACATAGCAGTAATTATCAACATGAAGCAGGTCATTATTGTAGATCATGCAGGGAGAACAAAGGGTAAAATATTTAACTGTGGCAGTGTTTGACTATATTCTGTGCAGTGAGAAAATCTGAAGTAATTTTCAAGGTCCACCATTTCTTCTTTTCAGTCGGGTCAAGTTTCTAAGCTTTCTAAATCTCTGTTTTCTGGCTAAGGAAAAGAAAATAGGATTCCACTGAGTTTCCTATCTACCTACTCCGTGGTGCTGGCCAGTGCACATCATGGCAGCTCCTGCATTGAGCGTTTGCCCCCTGGTCGTCAGTCAGACATCCTTAGCACTGCCCTGGAGGCAGAAGAGGCTTCCACCACCGCTGCTTCGTTCCCCAGGCATGAGCCTGGCTTCTTTTTTTTTTCTTTTCTTTTTTAATTTTAATTTTAATTTTTATTTATTTATTTATTTATTTTTTTATTTATTGCGAGCCTGGCTTCTGGCTGAGCAGCGCTCCCCCTGTGGGTGCTCACTGACCACCAGGGGGCAGCTCCTACATTGAGCATCAGCCCCTTGGTGGTCAGTACACATCATAGCAACCGGTCATTCTGCCGTTTGGTTGATTTGCATATTAGCCTTTTATTATATAGGCTAGATTATATTCTTTGGGTTTTAATATTCCAATGTCATAAATATACAAGCATTTCTAACAACAACCCTGTTAAAAGAAATGTAATGCATGCCACACGTAATTAAAAAATTTTAGGAGCTACATTATAAAAGTAAAAAGAAATAGGAAAATTAATTTTGTAATGTACTTTTTATTTAACCCAGAGTATCAAAAATACTATCATTTCAATATGTAATCATTTAAAAAACATTGAAATAGATTTTTTTTGTACTAAGTCTTGAAATCTGATATATATTTTTTCACTTACTGCACATCTTAATTAGGACTATCCACTTTTTTCTATTTTTTTATTATTTTAAATCCTCACCTGAGGATATGTTCATTGATTTTACTTAGAGAGAGGGGAAGAGAGAAAGAGAGAAACAACCATTGGTTGCCTCCCGTACACTCTGTGACCGGGGATCTTCACAACCTAGCCATGTGCCCCAACCAGGAATTGAACCCACAAGCTTTCTGTATAAGGACCCTACTCCAACCAACTGAGCCACACCAGCCAGGGCTGGATTATTCACATTTTAAGTTCTCAATAACCTTATGTGACTAGCCTACTTGATAGAAATCCCAATGGCAAAGCTAGAAAAATTTGAGCAACCAATTAAATAATAATACTGTTTGATCATAACTAAAGAAAAATTTAAATATCTATTTTCCATACTTACAGAAAAGTTTCAATTAGTAATGTAGGAGAAATGAAGGAAATTAAATCACCATTAGATTACCGCAATAGTAGTTGTCACAGAAAGATTCACTAATTAATACTAAAATTACTGATCAGAAGTTTAAAAAGAAAGAGGATATTTTCATGGTCATAAAATATCTCCCCCAAAACATGTATAAAGAAAAATAATAATTTGACAGTATAGAAATGTGCTAGATACTACCTTAATCAAATGATCAAGGTTAATGAAACATCTGATGCATTGAGAAGGTACATCACCTATGGCATCCTTCCCCAAAATATGTATTCTCGATCTCATTATGAGAAAACATCAAACAAATCTAAATTAGGAATATTCTACAAAATAACTGATCAGTACCCTTCAAACTGTCGTGGTCATGAAGGACAAGGAAAGACATGGCTGGAGGAGACGTGAGAACTGAACGCACTGTGGGATAATGGATAGGATCCTAGAACAGAAAAATATTAATGAAAAAAACTGCTAAAATCTGATTAAGTCAAGTTTAATTCATCATTTTGTAATGTTAATTTTTTTGTTTTGAAACTTTTACTATAGCTATATATGAAGTTAACATTGGGGGAACAGGGTGATTGGCATATGGGAACTCTACGTAGTATATTTGTAAATCTAAAATTATCTCAAAATAAAATTAAAAGTAAAATATAGATGTCTTAGAGTACAGTGTTATTTTTATATATCTCACAATTACTTATCAAATACCAGTGGAGGAAAAAAAGGCTATTTTTTCTCTAATCACCAAATAGACAATTCTGATGGTTATTAATTTTGTGGTTTATTTTAAACATATTTTATTGGTGGTTACTTTGGTTTAAATTTTAATAAAAGATTCAATAATAAAAGTGTAACAAACAGTGAAACCAATGTTAATTCAGAAAATTAAAGCGGGAACTGAGACAAATGCTCTATTACTGTGCTCTGTTTCCCGGCAGTATCTCAGAGCTTATTAACTTTCTTCTGCTCTTCCCTCCTCTGTAGTAAGTGACTGTAGCCATTCATTTTCTCCTTACATATAAAGTGATTACAATCTCAAGCATGGCTGATAGGGTGCCCCCTACTTTCATGACTATTCGGAAAATAGTAGCTATTAGATGCCAACTCACTGTGGCGCCACTATCCTAACCCACTGATAGCTTTACCTGGGGTTTGATATTTGAGGTTAACCTGGCTATTGGCAGATATAAATGCTATTCATCAGATTTATAATTATTTGTTGTATTCTATATGCTTGGTGTTATGCTACCACATGCAGATACCAAAAATCAACATCACGATTTCTGCAGAGAACTTCCACTCAATTAAAGACAAACATGAAGGCACTGTAGTGGGTGGAAAGAGCAGAGGCTCCAGAGGTTTTCAATCATATCCTCACTATCTCTTCCATTAATTACTAGATCTGTACCTTTGGTATTTATTTCAACTCTGAGTCTGTTTCCTTATCTCAATATAGACTACTAATCTCAGTCTTACAAGATTGTCATGATCATTAATATCTGGCACAGAGGAGACACTTAGTAAATGATAGATGTTATTACATGGTTGTTATTCAAGCTGTTAAACCATTAGAAAACACAATCATTGCCCAGCTGTCATGGCTCCATAGTTGAACATCAACCTATGAACCAGGAGTTCAGGGTTTGATTCCTAGTCAGGGTACATGCCTGGGTTGCAGGCTCAGTCCCCAATGTGGGGCATGCAGGAGGCAGCCAATAAATGATCATCTCTCATCATTGGTGTTTCTATCTCTCCCTCTTCCTTCCTCTCTGAAATCAATAAAAATATATTTAAAAAAGAAAACACAATCATTTATTATATTAAATAACTTTGTTTGTTGAAATATTGTGGTAGGTACTCAATCTTGGTGTTTTTTTCCCTTTAGAGATGATGAAGAGAAAAAAAAGTCTCCATCGGAAGGTACTGATGAAAAGGCTAATGGAACACACCCAAAGACCATCAGTCGTATTGGGAGCACTACCAACCCATTCTTGGACATTCCTCACGACCCAAACGCCACTGTGTATAAAAGCGGGTTCTTGGCTCGGAAAATTCATGCAGATATGGATGGAAAGAAGAGTAAGCATCATTTGTTGTCATTTTCTATTTCATTTATTTTGTCTTTAGGCTCAAAATTTAAAGTGAATTTATATGAAGTAAAGTCAAAGATGAAGGAAAATTATATTACATTGATCTTGAAAAGTATTTTTATTAAAGTTGATAAAACCTCTAAACCTAAGTCAGAAATCCACTGTGGTACTTGGTCTTCTCCAAGTAGAATTATAGAACTTCAGAAATGGAAGGCTTTATTCTTTTCCAACTTTTTGCTCATTTATTCTTGCTTTCAACAAATAATGTTGAGTACCTCCTATGTGCTAGGCATCAAAAAATATAGTAGTGATTAGGACGGACAGGGTCCCTTCTCCATGGCATTTACATTTCCAGTGGTTAAGGGAAAGGTTGAACTAATAACACAAAGAATAGCCAATGAAATAAAATCCCCGAGGCAAGGCGGGGAGGGGAGAGAATTGAGAGATCCAAGCACATGTGGAAGAATTGGCCTTTGAGGAAGATGGACAGTTGCAGCGTAGGCGAACGTGGCATAGTTGGGAAACTGAAGGAGTCCCATCTGACAGCTCTGAAGTATGACACGTGAATATCTACTGATAGTGTTTGAGATTTGAGAGAAATGGAGTATGTTTCCATGTTTAGAATAACATTTGCAGAGTGAAATAGCAATTTGATGTAGTTGAACAAGCGAAGAAAAGCTGATGATGATGCTAAAATTATCAGGCTCTACCTCTAGGGCAGCGGTTCTCAACCTTCCTAATGCCGCGACCCTTTAATACAGTTCCTCATGTTGTGGTGACCTCCAATTTCATTGTTACAAATTGAACATAATTAAAGCATAGTGATTAATCACAAAAACAATATGTAATTATATATGTGTTTTCCGATGGTCTTAGGTGACCCCTCTGAAAGGGTCGTTCGACCCCCAAAGGGGTCACGACCCACAGGTTGAGAACCGCTGCTCTAGGGTGTCACTGCTCACCTGCAGACACAAAGGTGCAATGCTGCGATGGGGAGTCCCACTGTTTCCATCTGTAGGCACTTTTTCTTAATATAGCATAGTCTTCTAGGTTCCAGTAGAGAGAAATATTGTCATAGAGTGGCTTTGACATTGGCTTATGATGCTGAGCAAACTTCTTCATGTTTCCAAGTTCTTGAAGAGCACCCCCATCACATTTCCTGTGCGTCCTCTACACTAGACTACTAGACTACCCAGTTTTCTCCAGCAGCATGTGTCAGGACTCTTGGAGTTGCAGATGACAATAGGTCTAATAAGCTTAGGGGAAAAAGGCCAGGACACAACTGAAGATGAAGTATTGTCACTAGGACACTTGAACCATTTCTGTCTCTATATTATTTTGCACATCAGCTTGTTTCTTTGAAACAGAGCTCTCTTACATGGCTGGCTGGCTACATGAGTATTAGCAGCACTATAGAGCATGTGTTTGGTTTTATCACCAGAAATCTTTTTCATCCCACACTTCCACTATAGTATATTCTGGGGCAGGACTCTGATTTGTATGACTGCCGGGATGGAACATTGTGATTGACAGCACCCACTTGGTTGTGATGGCAAGAGGAAAGTTCCCTCAAGAAGGAATAAGATGCAGTTCTCGGAGAAAGGGAGTTCTTGGTAGACAAAGCAATGGACATTCATCTCTTTTTTCCCAGCCTGCACACACACCCTTTCTCCATACGTCAAGTTCAGACAGTGCTTTTGCCAAACACAGGACAATCTTTCATCTATAACCACAATCTTTTCCTTTATAACCACAATATTTCTTTATGAGTATGTTCTCTGTCCCCCATGCCACGTCCAGCTGTGGCTTCCATCTCCACGGCTGAAAGGTGCTGGGCGGTGTCCAGCCTCCTCAGGTGGAGATGTAGCTTACTCTGTAGGCTGAATGAAAAATACAGCAATAACTGACATACCTCAATTCATATCAAGTGCTAGAAGCAAACAGAAAACTGTGGTTTTAAAATGCCTGTTCAAGGCAAGGAAAAAAAGGAAGCAAAACAGCCATCACTGATCCAGGGAAGGTTACTACGTCCTGCTGGGCCAGGAGAATAGAGCTGACCCAGATGAGCATCTTTTCATTGATCACTTCCCTAGTGATGGATTAACATGCTTGATTAACTTATTCCAACGTGTCACCAGATTTAGTCTGTTGATGAAATTTCCTTTGTCCATGTCTTCCTGGGCCACCGCTGAGGATGATTGGCGAGAATTCCCCAGCTAGAACTGTTCCCTCTGCACTTCACTGAGTGTAGGTCGAAAACCTGGGAGTTTCTCAGTAGTTGAGCCATCACAGACCTCTTGTACCAGGCCAGAGGTTTTCCTGCCAGTAAAACGCCTTTACCGCTTTAGTTACTTCCTTTGAGAACTACTGGTTGATTAGGGCAGTTTTAAGTGTCACGGTTTTGTCTTTTTAGCGGTTTGCGTTCTTCCTTTTACCTGCCTCTGCTTCTGGTTGTTTCTTCTCCTGCCTTAGATTCCCCCAGTTTTTCTACATTGATCCCTTCCACCCTTCACCCACACCACCTCCCCACGCCTTCACAGCACTATTGTCTGTGTCTATGGGTTATGTATAAGCATATAAGTTCTTTGGTTAATCTCTTCTGCCCCCCTCTCCCCTCTTCCCTCTGAGATTCGTCAGTCTGTTGTGTGCTTCCATGTTTCTGGATCTATTTTGTTTGTTAGTTTATTTTGTTCATTAGATTCCACATATAAGTGAAATCATGTGGTACTTTATCTGGCTGGCTAATTTTGCTTTTTCCTAATGTCCTTGAGCATATTTGTTACATTTACAGTAGCCCTTTTAAGGTCCTAATTATTTTCTCTCTGTCATATCTGAGATGTTACATTGGTGAAGAGGGTAGTTTCTATAGTCGTTAATCTTTCGTGGATATAAGTAGAACTAAACTGGTTACTGATCCCTTTTGTTAGGAAATTTCTTTCTAGTTGCCTTAGACTTCAAGAGACGGAATATTTACTGAGCTGTGAAAGCGATAAGAAATTCTAAGTCTTCGAGGACAAACTCTTTAGATTTGTATTTGGACAACCAGAAAGGGATTCGTTTCCTTCCCAGCTAATCTTTTCCATGATCCCCAGCCCAGTTTTTTAGACTTTCAATCATATATGGTTGAACTGGTTTATCTCCATATACCAGATGCCTGAACTGCTTCTAAATGCATCTGCCTCTCTCTTTTGAGAGGTGGTCACTATAAAAAATTGAAACATGTTTTATGTTATTCATGTCTACTGTGCTCTGAAATATAGTACTTTTATATTCAATATATTAAAAAATAAAAACAACAGTGGAGATTTCACAGAACATGGGTTCCAAATAATTTTTGATAAGTCTATGTAATGAAACCTTTTGGGAATATTTATCCTGCTAAGTCTATAGACATTTATTGGGATTCGTCATGTTTGGTATAGGTAGAGCTGTATTGGCATTTGTATATACAGGTAAACATGGCCAGGTTCTCTGATGACAAATATTACTAAAAGTTTTTAATCAGTAATTATTTGGGTCAAAACTCTGTGGAGAAATTAAAAACCTGACTAACTTGTCTCTAAATAACCACTTGTCTGACTTAAGATTTAGGATCTTCCATTATTTTAATTAACTCTGGACTCAGTTTGTTAGATGGCACCCATAATTTCTCATATAAACATTTTAAAAACCTTGGAGGTTTTCTTTGCTTAATTTTATTTATTTATTTAGCCTTTTGTGGATATGCTCAGTTCAGAATTTCTACCTCCAGGAGACAAATCATTATTAAAAGCAAACATTGTATCTCTCATAAAATTATGCTTACCAAACCCATTAAATCTGAAATTAAGGGAAAAGCTTTGAACAGCCAAATCAGGCAAACAAAATGTGTCTTCTGGATTTTTGTCAGATAGAATGAAAAATAAAATTCAATATAAGCTCTTAGTTTTACCAGTCTGATGTAAGATACTTGTGGAAATCAATAGTAACAGGAAACAAGGTACTCAAAATGTTCTAAATGATGACAATAAATAGTCATAATTAAGTGATTACTCAATATTAGAGCTTTATCCTAGCACTTCATGCACTAACTCATTTAATTGCCACCCTGTGAAGCAGGTATCATTATTATTATTATCCCCAGTTTACTGAGGAAGAAATTGATCTTAAATGTCTTATCCTGTAGTATAGAATAACAGGACATCTAGTGAAACTAAAATCTGATTATAGCAAAGGAATTGTAGCATAGTGTTAAAACCAGTCACATGGAAGAATCTTACAAGCATAATATTGAATGAAAAATCAACTTGCAGAAGAATGTGCATATATAACATTCTAAAGCATACAGAGCTGTTTTTAACAGGAATGCCTTCGCTATGGAACAGTGGTTACCTCTGGCAGGGGAGGAGTGTGCACCCAGTCAGGAGTGCCCAGCCGTTCAACTATACGTACTGATAGTTTTTTTAAATTAAGTGATGGCACATGCATGTTTGCTTTATTGCTCTTGATAACCTTTTGCTGTCTTAATGTTTCATAATAAACTTCTAGAAACTCAATAGAATGCCTGATTGCATAGGAAATTTAGAAATAATTGAGGATTTTTTTCTGAAATCTGTGCAGGAATAATTACAGAAAACCCAAAAAACAGAAGTTAGTGATCATCATCTGTTAGTGTAATATTTTAAAATTTCACCACAATAATATAATTTTGTATGTTTTTCACACTTAGAAATGGGAAAGATTTCATTATTGGGAGGTAAAACTGGAGAGGAGGAATGGAGGAAAGCAGGGAGAGAGTGCCATTCTGCTATCTTAGAAAGACAGTGGAGATTGCCTAACCTAGGAACAGATGTTGTTAGCATGCTCTGCTGAAGCTACAGCGGGAAGGCCGGGGAGGGTGTGTGTGTGGGGGGGGGGCGGGGCGGGGGGGTGTAAGAGATCAACCGAAGGACTTGTATGCATGCATATAAGCATAACCAATGGACACAAGACACTGGGGGGTACGGGAGG